CCCTTCACATTATTCCCCAATCTTCCCTTATTCAAAATATAAATGGGTGTGTGTGTGTGTTGGGCCATCAGAGATAAGGTTCATTGAACTTATTATTTTTTTAAAAAATTACAGAGAGAGAGATATTTTCCATTCATTGGTTAGTCACTTCCCAGATGGCCATAATCAGGGCTGAGCTAGGCAGAAGGCAGGAACTTCATCCGGGATCCCCACATGGGGGTCAGAGGCCATCTGTTGCTGCTTTTCCCAATTAGCAAGGAGCTGGATCAGAGGCAGAACAGCTTGGACATGAATTGATGCCCATGTGGGATGCCAGTGACACAGGAGGTACCAAAATACCAGCTCCTCACTGGTCTTTCATACTAACCTAGCCCTGAGTCTCAGGAACCATAAACAATTACCTAAGGAGATTGCTGCTTACAACAAACTTAGAATATCACCAAGAACTCAAGTCTTCTGCACACAAATTCCTTACTTCACAGGTTTCCTGAAGCCAGCATTTTTGCAGCTATCAGATCATTCATTTTCTTTGTCTGTTCTATAATTAAACACCATAAACTGGATAGCTGAAAAACAGCAGAAATTTCTCACAGTTCTGGAAGTACAGGCTCAAACTCCAACAGACTCACTCTGGTGAGAGCCTGCAAAGTGCTTGCCCATGACCTTCCTACTGTGTGCTCACAAGGTGGGAGAGACAAGGCAGTCCCCAGAGCAGAAGTCCTATTCCCCAGGGTAGACATCGTCTCCCAAGGCCCAGCCGTGAAGTCCTACACGATGAACTTGGGTGGACACAGATACTCAGACAGAGAACATACATGAAAAGCTCCATCATTAATTTGCCCTTGGAAGTCATCTTACACAATGGATATGTGGAGGGGCAGGTTCAGTCCCTGGTGTGTGACCAATGCTAGGGCATTTACTAACTCCTAAGCACGAGCAAGCAAGCTGACACTCTGATACATCTTGACCACTGTCCTTGCTGGGTTTTCTAAAATTCTAGAAAAACATTCCTTATCACTAGGCCTAGAGCTTACACACTTCAGGTTTTCATTTATGACAATTCTGTTTTTCCAAAAGTTGTGGTAGATATGAAGTTATTCTGACACATCTTAACATAGACTCCCACAAGATAATGGGACTTGGTGTTGTTACCAAAATAATTAGAGGTCAGTGTTTTCTTCAGCTTGATTCACAATTACTAAATTGAAGCTGTCAACAAAATCCAAGTCTTAAGCAGCAAAACACTTCTTAAGAAGTTTCTCATTTTTTAAACTTTTTTAGAGACATAGTAGATAGGAAGAAGTCTTTGATCCACTGCTTCGCTCCCCAACTGCCCATAAGAGAGCAAAGCCAAGAGCCAGAAACTCCATCAGGGTCTCCCATATGGCAGACAGGCACCCATGTGCTCATCTGCCACATCACAGGGCATGTGTTAGCAGGAAGGTAGAATCTGCAACAAGGCAGGACTCAAAGCAGGGGACACTGACGAGCGATGGGGGTGCCCTGAACAGCATCTTAACTGGTGTGACAAATAATCGATATACCAGACTATACTATTATAGTAACGCCTGCCCTAACACAGATGAAAGAAATTAAGAAACCAAACAAACAGTAAGATTCTCTGTTAAGGTACACTCAATGCTAAGATTCTTTCAGGACATTCTAGGTTCCTTTGATTAAACTTAACCCAGCAGCCAGATTTGTTTGCCAAAGAGCCAGCTGAAGAGGGTCCATTAACTCTTTCAGTGCCCAGCCCCTATGAAATATCAGCAAGGCCATTAGTATTGTTTTGCCTTGGGCTCTATGCTTTTTAAAAAGTCAGCTGTCATTTTCAAAGCCAACCAAAATAGCACACTCAACAGATCCCTGGAGTTCTGGAAATGTTAATGTCCTCCATCAGCAATGACCTTGCCACGGGGAAGTGATTTAGGCACCAGGGAGAAAGGAACCCACTATCTTTATCACACTGGTTTACACCATCAGCTTCAGAAATTGCATGAGAGAAGACTAATCAATAGTGTGTTAAGACCAATCTTGAGGAATGCCAAGACAAAATACTCTTGCACTGTAAAATGCTGAGTTGAAGGAGAACTTTTGAATACAACAAAAGATAAATTAGCTGTAGTGGTAAAACAAAATAAATTGTGTCTCAAGATGGAATTCGTCATTAGGAAAGGCCCTCAAGAACTTGATATACTTCACTGGGATCGCATAATATGCATGATGAAAAATGCTTAAACAACACAGAAGTAGGGAGGGGGGAATGGGCAGCGCCAAAGAGAGGATTCTGTTTGCACGTGAAAGAACTTCCAACAAAAGCAAGACTTATTAAGACAGAAAGCATCCCATGCAGCAGCCAACAGGGGAACTTTTTAAGGAAAAAGACCAGGAGCTGGGGCAGAGAATTAATAGCTGAATCAAGCACCTCCAAGTGCTGGTATCCCCTGTTGGCAGTGGTTTGTTTCCTGGAAGCTCTACTTCCTATCCAGCACCCTGCTTATGCCACGGGAAAGCAGCAGAGGATGGTGCAAGTCCTTGGAACCCAGCACCCACCTTAGAGTCTCAGAAGAGGCTTCTGGCTGTTGGCTCCTGGCTCTAGACTGGCTCAGCTCCTACTGCTGTGGTCATTTGGGGAGTGAACCAATGGATGATAGATCTTTCTCTCTTGTTCCTTCTCTCTGTTCATCTGCCTTTCTGATAAAAATAAATAAATCTTTTAAGAGGGAAAGATCTAAAAATCTGGCAAAAGTGGAGTTTTTCAAGCACAATTGGGGCAGGAAAAGGGGAATGGAATAGCAGCTACCAATCAATCAGAGGTGGGACAGCAAAACTCAAGAGAGGCCAGAATTCGAATCCTGTCTATCTTGCTAAAAACAAAAAGGCAGCAACAGGTTGTAAGTGGTGCCTTCTTTCAATTATCAGGGTAAGATAAAAAGTCAAATGGGTGGAGTCGTTATTTTCTGGCTAATGTCCTGTTCAAATAGAAAATAAGGAAAGGAATTCAGATTCTGATAGGGGCTCCAGCTCACTGGACTGGAAACAGGACTAATCAGCTGAAACCAGAACTCAGAGTGGGCACTTCGATCTGCCAGGTGTAGCTCCGGGAGGAGAAACAAGTATCTTGTGTCCTTTTCACATTCCAGCAGGGCTCTGTATGTCCATCAATCCATGTAACTCTTACAGAGTCAAATAGCCAAACTGTAGACACTGCACTGTAAACACACGCATGCAAGAAGCAGTTCACAAAGCCCTGAGAGCTGGCCTGGCAGTTAAAACACGGATTGAGACACCCACATTCCACGCCAGAGTACTTGAGTTCCATAACCACTCTGGTCCCACTCCTGACTCTAGATTTTTACTCAAACACACGACAGCTCAAGTATTGGGCTCCTTGCTACCCAAGAGGAAGATCCAGATTGGCTCCCAGCTGTAGTCTGGCTCAGCCCTGGTTGTTGAGGGAATTCACTGAACTTGTGAAGCACGGGGCTTGTCTATGCAGCTGCCTCCTACCTCTCAAATGAATAATCAAAACATTTAAAAAATACCTTGCATAAATAGACCCTCAGTGTCATTTGTGTCTAGGAAAGAGCGATCTTCCACGTACAAAGGGAAACTAATGAGAAGTTCAACTCCATCAAGATTTCCTGAAAAAGGTTGTATTTCCTTAATCTAGAAAAGGTGTGATCTCTTTACAACCAGCAGAGTAGAAATTTCTAAAAAGCGTAAAAGCAATGTTTTCACTCTGTTCTGAGTGAAGTCACTGTGGAAAAGAGCTGGCACCTCAGTCCCTAAGATCATTACGATGAATTGTTTGATTTCCCACAGCAACACTAATTGTGACATGAACAGCTGTCAACAACAAAATTAGAAGAAAGTGTCATTACAAGGATTTCACCCCCATTTGGTTGTCCTATTTCCACATCATAACTCAAGAGAATGTTTTTTTTAAAAAATTCTTCCATTAGAGGTTTTCATTATTCAAGAGGGAAGTCACTCAAATTATCTGGCCTTATGTGCATGGAATGTGCAATACAGAGAATATATTTGTCATGATAACAAGAATCCCAATTGGATGCTTACTGAATAGCAAAGCCAAGTACATGAGTGTCTGGGACACATCCCTTAATCCTGAAGTCAGCCTTTCAAGTAATTGTTACAATTTCTGACTTTTTGAAGTAATTGTTATCATTTTAATTCAGTTGATTCTCATTATTTTTTCTTGACAATGTTCTAGAACTTTGATACAAATATTGAAAATGAGCCAACAGTGAGCCCTTGTCCCCATGGGACATGCAGGGCTAAACTCCTATGAGCTGCTAGTTTCAACTTTCTTCCACTGCTCAAGGCATAATCTTGCTTTTCTGTTGCTGTTAAAGACACCTGACAATGTACATTGTTGCTTCATTACCACTGAACTCACAACCCTAAACCTAATTATAAACCAAGTCTATCTGATACATATTTTCTCTACAAGATGTATCTCACGGTCCTTGAGTCAGGAGAATCAGACAGAACTTCAGCCCTTTGCAAGGAGAGAGCAGAGAGGGTGGCAAGCATTTAGATAGTGACAATGCAAATTTAGAAGCACAAAAAATGTGGAAAATATCACTAAGCAGAACAGAGAGAGACACTGGGTTATAGCAGAGGAGTTGAAAGGGAAAGGCAAGAAGGTGACAGACACACGGGACACACACAAGATAACGTTCTGCCAGCCTTCCCATGCCCAGAAAAATGCTATGAGTGGTGACTTGGTAGTGATATATACATTTTAGTTAATGGGCAAATTTATAAATGCAGAATCTGGAAATAATAAAGACTAATCCTATGCGGTTAAAGTGAGTTACTCCATGTCTGGATAATTCGCTCTGTTATACATATTAATACTTCAGCTTGCTTACATTTCAAAATTAGAATAGACCAGTATCCAGAGTTCCTTGCACCCAGATCCATCATGATTGTGGAAAGGGGCTTATTGTCTAACACTCTCAACATTTCTCTAGGTCTTTCAAGGATGTGGCCAGCCCAAACCTGCTCCAGCTCTCAGATCAGCACGCTCAGCTCCTGAAAATTTCAATACCCGCTTCAGGCCCTATAACCCAGAGGAAAGACCAACAACAGCTGCGGGCACAAGCTTGGACCGGCTGGTGAGTGTTTCAGATTAACAACCACCATGGCAACTACTTCCCACAAAAGGCATTCTATAAAAACGTACAAGGTTCAAAAAAGTTGAGTTGCAAAACCATCTCATTTTTATATCTGCTCCTCTCCTTGATTGGGACCCTGTAATGGGCTCTTTCTTTCAGGTCACAAAATAGATTTTTTTTTTTAAGAAATTACATAACTATTCATTCATTCTAGCAGTGACTAAATTTTCAATTTCCTATTTCTTTGGAAATATTAATTTGGAGAAGAAGTTAACATTTATTTCAGAGATGTAACTACAAAAGCATATTTCTTATTCATCTGGTTTTTTCCTTAAAATAAGTATTCATTCAATTATGATAAAGTATAAATTCAGTATGACTTCTGCTTATATACCAAATTTTCTGACTGAACAATCTCCCCCCCAAAAATTCAAAGCCAATGCTACCGCAATGTTTTCTCTTTTAAAATTCAGAATCATTAGACAGTCATGTTGAGGTATCTGAATGTGTTGTGGGGACTACTTGGTGTCTGTCATCAAGGCAATTTACCTGTGAAATACAAGATTAGAGGAAATTAAAATTTTCTGAATTGTATTTTAAAACACAGATTTTGCTATAAAAATTAAAAGCGCATAATTACAGAGAAATTTCCAACTCCGTGTATTCAGTTTTTGGTGCTAGCGACAATTTATATAGCTGTAATTATTAATGGCATTAATGTCGTTTTGCTAATTATCTTCATTAAAATTAACAGATTAAAAACCTTAAGTCATAAAACCTTGAACAAGATCTGACTGCATTATATAAACAAGATCTTAAGGGTTGCTAGTCACGAAAATGTTTAAAATTGGTAACTTATAATGGATTATGAATTACCTTGGATTTTAGTAAGTATTGTTCTACAGTGAGTGTAAAGTTCACCAGATTAAACCGGTTGAATTTGGTCCCAGTGTAAGACAGATGCATTTATATTAAAATCAGTTATGGTTATAACATGAAGTCTCAAAGTAATAGCTTAGGTTATGACCAACCTAAATTATGCTTATTATTTAACAAATAAAACCACGTTCTGCTATAAATTTTTTAAAACCTGTCATATTCGTAATCACTTCAATCTTCAACTTTACCTTGCTCATACCTATGGTCTATTGTAGTTCTAGATAAAGTTTAAAATCACTCACCATTTTTCTTTTAAACAATTGATGTGCGGAACAAGTAACCAGCTCTCTCTGGATCGTGTTGTTTGCATTTTCCTTTACAAATGGCTTTTTAACCAGGAATACAAAGGGTGAGTGTGAGTTTGGCCCTTTTTTTTCAGTTACAGTGTAGTTGATTTCTAACTCCACCATTGGAACAATTTAGACTTTTCCAATGTTTCATAAAATCTATGTAAGACCTGAGTTTCACTATTAAGGTGAATAGTCTTCAGATGTCATATAAAACGTTATGTCTACAATACCAACATGGTGTTGTATGTTTCATCTGTTTTTTTTGTTAATTTTTTTAGCACATTTAACCTCTTATGAAGTTAGATTTCATGCTAAGTGTGCTTGCCACCACAAGGGAAAAAATTAAAGAAAAAAAAGTGTTGTTACGCAGTTAACAATGCATTGCATTTGAATAGTATAATGCTATCTGTGACAACGGGTTCATTCTTTCCCCTTTGAAACACAAGAGCAGTTTCCTGTCATCCCCACGAGAAAGGCACGGCCGCCCTCCAACAGAGGAAGCAGACCTTGAAAAATGTTTCTCCAGGCAACAGAGTTTGTGCAGTGTGGCCTTACCTAAATAGAGCAGCTACACTTATATGGTGTTAAAAACCCAGTAGACATGAAAATTGGAATTTGAACCTTTTATACAGGAACTTCACTGGTAGTTTTGAAAATGACCCACATAGAATGGTCTTAAAGAGTATTGGAAAATAGCAAACTGCTGGAGGGCCTTCTATTGTACGTACCTCCAAAATCTATACTTCAGTCCATCTTCTTTCTAAAAATAGCTATAATAGTTAATCAACTAATCATGAGTGAAAACCAAGGATCAGACCCAGCACAGAGGCATGCAATCAATAAGCCAACTTAATTCTAAAACATTCTCTGACAGTGCCTAATATTGACTTCCTTATAGGTGTGGCTTCGTGCTTTGCATTGGACAATTGCAATTTTGTCCATTTTTGGTTGAATTATATTCTGATCCCTTCCCCAATTATAAGGGCAAGAGATTTGTAATTCATAGCCTGCCATGAGCCCACCTGGAGCTACTTTCCTGGGCTACGTGGAGCAAAGGGCTGTTTTCACATCAAAAGGAGCTGCACCAGGGTTATCCTGGGGACACAAGCTAGGTGGATGCTAATACCAGAGTTCATGGCCCTTGACTCCCCTGCGACCTTCTTCCCCAGGAGGGATGAAGTTCTAACAGGAGGAAAGGGAGTACTCACCCTGGCTGGCCTGGTGAGAGCTCGCCAGTCACATACCATCATCACCATCATCGGCCAGAATGGCCCGGTGAGCGCCCCAGATGGGTCTGCCATCCATTACGGCCCAGTTCAACTGTTTATAAACAAGGCTCAGATTACCTACTCCTGTTTTAATTTTTCCCCTGAAAAGATGCTTCCTGAATATTTATAAGAAGCATATGTCTGAAAACAAGGAGAACTAGCAAAGATTTCCCTTCATCTCTGGTTTGGCAGAGAAAATGCTTCAAAGGGCAGCATCAAAAGAACTCACCAATTACCCCACCCCATTTTTGCCATATTAAAAATAACTTCACTATAAAGCTCTTGGAGAATGAATCTGAGCACCTTTGAAATTAGTATCTGTGGCATTAACTTTGGGATCTATTGGTAAAGGTTTTCTTACAGCAGTTATTATAAAACTGCTTTAGATGAACTGGTAATTATAGGGTTTGCTTGGAAATCAAACTCTAACTCCAAGCTGGGTAAACTATTGCTAAAACGTATATAAAAACATTTACTAGGATAACTCTGTTAAAAATACACCAATCCCGTTATTGCAATTCTTTTTATACTAGGAAGGAGTTCTTAATATTCAGGAAAATTCCTCAAAAGTTACTTGACCATAAGAAGCAGCCGAGACGGCTAGCAGCTTTCAAACCTATTACCCTAAAGTGATCTTGGAAACTGAGGAATGAATGAGTAGTATAAATTCAGCTGCTGAAGCCAGCACCACTCATCTCAGGATATCACACATCTTCCTGCCCATAAGCACGATCTGTTGAGTCCATGAACGCATTACCTAATTTGTGTAACACCCTGGTCCTACCTTCTGGTTTCCCTCGTTCACCATGGCAGCTCTTCTGCCAGAGCCAACTGTTGTCCATGATTTGCAGTTAAATTGGCCAGAGGTGACCATTTGCCCTTAATAAGTACCTAGTTTTCTCCCCTTTTCTTAAATTTATGCTCTGAATTCTCTTATGTGGTTTGATACAGAATGGTTTTCATAAAGGTAGTTCCAGTTTGATAGAATGAACATCTAGCGTAAAAAGACACTGGCACAGAGTAGCTCAATTTTTTAAAGATCTGTGCACACAGAAGTATCTCAAATTATTTTCTGCAAAAGGCAATTACTTGTATATCTCAGAAAATGAGAGCACAACCTGTTACTGCTCAGGAACATCCTTGGACATGGAATGTCTGTTACATTATAACAGCCAATTCGTTAGAGCAAAAATGTACTTCATTCACATTGTTGATTTGGGGGGAGAAATACAGTCTATGAAAGAAACTCATTTTTTAAAAAGCCAGATTTGAGAGTGAAGTCCTCAAGCTCGTGATGGTTTAGACCCACTTATCTCCAGTAAGTATTCAACAGGACACTGTGTGCACATTGCTCCAGTAGGCTGCTGTTCATTAGCGGACACTGGGTTGAGGGTGGGTGGAAAACCAACCCGCAGAGCAAGCTTTAGACCTGTGCTGTCCAACTATGCATAGAATAATCTTTTTCTTTTTCCTTTCAATGTGTTTTCCTCCTGCTTCCCAGAGGACTGTGTGGCGGACAATGCAGCACAGTGTAAGAACCTGCCTTCTCTTTCTCCTTTTCATCGCCGCTCGTCTCTGTGTAGTCTCTGCAGAGTTCTGAGGAATCCCAATTCCACTCTCCCTTTCCAAATCACCCAGAGTGAATCAAGTGCAGCACGTGGCCAGCTTGGTTAGGAGTCTCAGCTCTGCTTGGTATTGATGGCTAACTTCCATGTTGGTATTCTCTCCCCTTGGCCAAATGTTCAAGCTAATCTCCGTGCAAGACTGGCTCATTTTGTGGCTGATTGAAATTCTAGGCCAGCATTCAGACTGTGTAGAGTATGCCTGAAAGACTAGCTCTTTCCTGGTAGAATATATTGGCCTTTTTTCTTTTTGTGTTGAGCAAATAATTACCTCGCTAATAATAAGGATAAACCAACAAAAGCTCTCATGCATAAGAAACTAATTTTTCCATTAGCAGGAACAAGGAGAATTTAGGGGGGTTAGGAAGGAGATTGTGGTATTGGTTGTTTACTCATTGCTTTTTCCTACTGAATCACTGATTGCCGTTAGTACCTGTAGGGAGGGATAGCTGTATCCTTTTTTTTTTCTAACTTAAAATGGTATGTATTGTGATTGAGGACAAGAACTCTTACATTATATCACCTGACTCTCCATGTTAGCCAAAATAATGGACTAGTTACCTACTCTGATATTCAGATACCATCCCACGGGGTAATGCCCCTTCGCACAGGCTTGAACCTGACGTATGGACCCAGGAGAGACAGTGGTTGTGAGTGGAAGAGCACATTTATAAAGCACACCCTTAGCATCAGGGTCTTCTGGGTCTACCTGCCCTGTAATCCAGACAGTGCTATGATGGGGTCTAAAGTTCGGCTGCCTAAAAGAGAACTGTCTCCTGAGGGGTAGACCCATTGTTCCTGCCAGCTCTCTGAGCCCAGGAAAGTTTGCATGGAGTCAGACAGTGAAGTGGCAAATCTGGAATAGGAGCACGAGGGAAGGG